CCCCCATCTGGGGGCTCACTCTCATAAGAGCCTCTCTTCTGGAGGAGCATCTGGGAGCACCAGGCAGCTTTTGGTGACAGACAAGTCCCCACAGCATCCGAGCACAGTGTTTGTGCAGTGCGCTGTCATGCGGCCCATAGCACCCGAGCACGGCGTTCGTGCAGAGCACTTGCAGACGGCCTCTTTCAGCCTGCAGGAGTTTGTGAAGGATGCGGGGAGGTACAGCCAGAAGTTGGTGGATGACCTCCTGGACCAGATCACCGGGGGCGACCACTCCAGGATGCTGGTCCGGCTGAAGCAGGTGGGTACCTTGCCCCGCCAGGCTGCACACTGGGCCCTGCTGCTGGCGTCTTCCTGGTCCACACGAGTGGTCAGAGAAGAACATGCCGTTTTTAGGGAATCACTAGCTATTCTTCCCTTGCTGGCTTTGGTTTCTTTTGCTTTAAACAGTCATTTTTACCTTTTGGAGAGACTTGAGATCGAGAAAGGAAAAGTCCTGTATGTGTGCCACGTGTTTGCAGTCCGTGGCGCTCTCCCTAACTCCCTGGGTCCAGCTTCTTTCCTCTGCTGGCAGTCTCCTTCACTCCAAAGCCGTTTCTCAGAGTGCAGGTCTACCGTCCGTAGATTCGCTCAGCTCGTTTGCCTGAGAGTCTGTATTTCGCCTTCGTCTGGGTCCGTTTTCCCTGCATGGAGCACTAGACCAGCAGTGTTTTGCTCTCGACTTTAAAGATGCTGTTTCTCTGGCTGGCGTTGTTTACGAAGAAGTGTCCGCAGTCGTTCTGTCTGGTTTCCGTAAGCAGTGTGTCTTTTTGTCTGGATCAAGGGCTGACAAACTATGACTCGTAGCCAGAGCTGGCCTGCAGCCTGTTTTTGTACGTTCCACGAGCTAAGAGCGTCTTTTGTATTTTTTGAAGATTGTGAAATAGAAGACTGTGTAACAGACCACATATGGCCCTTGAAGCCTCGAATACATAGTCTCTGGCCTGTACAGGAAGTTTGCTGACCGCTGCTCCATTGTTGTCCATTGCTGTCGAGTAGATTCCGACTCATGACGACCCCATGCACCTCAGAATGGAACTGCTCCATAGGGTCTTCAGGGCTCTGATCTTTTAGAAGCAGATCACCAGGCATGTCTTCCGAGGCACCTCTGGGTGGGTTTAACCGTTTGTGCCACCCGGGGACTCCGTGACCACTGCTCTGCATGCCTTGAGTTTCTGCCTTTATTGCTGGTTTTCAGGAGTTCTGGAAAACTTCAGGTTGGATGTGCTCTTACATCATATTTCTGTCGGACAGCACTGGTCTGGATTTTTTGTTCTCCTTTAAAGAAGTCGGCATTTGTTTTGGCCAAGAGTTTAGTCATTTGTGGACCGCTTGATCTTTCCAGGGTTTGTTTTTAAGCTGTTAGGTCTCCAGGGTAGCCTTGGTTCCAGGGCTAGTTTGGCCTTAATGCTAAGGAGCAGATGTCCTTTTGGGCTCTTCTGATCGCCTGATTTCAGGGAGGCCACTGCTCTGGCTGATGGGGTTCGGATGTGTCAGCACTGCGTGAGCGCCGACACGTTTTGGTCCACAGCTCCCTGGTGGGTGTCCTTTGCCTTTGAAGTTTCACTCGGCACGCGCACGTCACATCCCATCAGCTTGAGGGGCCCCCGCAGCACGTCCTTCCCACCAGTGCTTCTTCCCACCCATGGTCTGGGAGTCACCCCAGGAGGGATCAGGTGACCAAAAGCTCCCTGTGGGTCGCTCTGCACTCCAAGTCCACAGTCACAGCCACCTGTCAGCACAAGGCCTGGAGCAGGCACTCTATGCTTTTCCTCCAGCTTTGCTGGCAGCTCTGCGTGAGGCATTTGCCCCCATGGTCCCTGGAGGCTGGCTGTGCCTGCCTTCGGTTTACTGTGACTGCAGCTTGATCACTTTTCTGGAAGGAGACTCATGTTAGGGTCAGGATAATCACATACATGCTGCCTTCCATTAAATAATGAGATCTAGCACGGAGCACACTCCGGGTGCCTTTTAATGTTTAACGTTAAGTGAAGCTTACTTGAGAAACAGACATTAAAATAACGGCCACGTTTGCTTTTTTAATTAAAGGTTTGTAGAGAACCGTAGCAACACAGATAAATCTTGACTTTATTTTGAGCCAGAGATCCCAGCTACAAAAGCGTGCATACTGTGTGCGAGGTACATGTGCAAAGCATTCAGGTGATGTCTCTGCCAGAACTTGGGGCAGTGGCTTGGCTGTGGCGGGCCTGTTCTGGCTGTGGCCACCACAGGGCAGAGGCACA